CATCTCCATTTCACTTTAACTGATCAAACTCGCCACACTAGACGAAGAATACTGGATTGAAGGCACTGAGAAGAAAAGTGATGAATTCTGCAATTTCCTACTCTCATTACCTCGAAGGATGCAAAGATAGTATTTTTCTAAAATACTTGTCAGTATGTTAGATACAAGAAAACTTATTTCAAATCATGTGCAGACATAGATTTTCATTTTTAATATGGGGCAATTGGCACTTCTATCCAATGCTAAGCACATATTTATTACATTTCTCCAACTGTATATTTAAGTATCATCCCAACATTAAATCAGTCTAGCAGTAAATCAAACTCAAGTAACAGTCTAGTGCATGTATTGCTTTTGGCAGTGAAAGCTAACCACTGTTTCTTGGAGATTAGAATATAACTTAGAGCTTGGTGATTAAACAATCACAGAAGAGGTGGAAAATTAACTTCTCATCTTTTCAACTGTCAAATTTCATTTAGATTCCATAATCTCTTGTTTTCAAAACCACTTTATTGGGACTTAATACCGATACCATACCATTCCATAGATTGGTCACTTCAAGCCTTATTGTAAAATTACTTCCAAAGTTTCAATTTTTTTTTCCTTCTTGAACTCCTTGCTCTCACACAACCACCACCACAGTACACCCCCCACCCCAGAAACCCTTGTTCTGCATGCTGTCACCACAGGTTCATCAAAACACATAACAAAAATTCTTGATGTGCATTCATGGTTTAGAGAGTTTCAGGCACTCTTTTTTTCACAAATAAAGCTTTCTACATCCCTAGCAGGATCCACTCATTTTCTGTTAGAATTTTGACACTTCAAGCCTTCTCAATGACATAATAAAATTCTATACTAGATTTATCGTCCTAGCATTTTTAAAGTTAAATAGACGCGGAAAAAAATTATTGACTCAGCTGTTCACATCTAATACTTTGTAGTTACAACAGATTTTGTCTTCCAATCAAAGATAAAATACTTTAGTTCATACTCTGAGCACAGAAATGCCCTTGCTAAGAATCAGTCATTAAGGGTTTCAATTTATAGTAGTTATCTTTTATGTTTGATGTATGTATCCATGTAATTATAAAATTATGCTATTATTTCATGTAGATCCATTATGAGTCCGTAAGAATAGCATACAATAACGCATTACAATGCACTGTGATTAGAGAAAATGGTAATTGTGAACATCTGGATTGTGAAATTTAAATTTGAAAAAGTCTGATATTATTTATAAAGCTTTTTTTTCCCAATGCCCACTCGGATTTCCATTAGGCCTGACTGAAGCCATTGATTTAAAACAGGCTAATTAAATGTAAATGCAAATATGTTGCCTGGATTAAACAGTCATGTAGAAAAATGATCATTTCTGTATCCTAGTTATTTGGCCATTTTGAAGAGAGAATTGTTCTTGTTTTGCCATTAAGTATATTCAACAATCTTGAAGTTTGAAAGGCCAAGAGGGTAACTATCTTAAAATGTGAAGCCATATATTTTTAATGAGGAGGGAAAAAATTGAAGCTTTAAAACTGGTAAAATAACTTAAGCAGGAATGAGTTTTATCTTACAAACTAAGTCAACTAAGAAACTGTATCTATTTCTAATTAATTCACTGGTTCTTCTTTTTTTTTAATCAATGTATTGAGGCTCATACAATTCATCACAATACATAGATCAATTGTGTAAAGCACATCTATACATTTGTTGCCCTCATTATTCCCCAAATTCGCTTTCCTCTTGGGTTCCCGGAATCAGCTCATTTTCCTTTTTTCCCCTCCCCCTCCCTTCCTCCTCCCCTCTCCCCTATGCACCCTTGATAATTTATGAATTATTATTGTATCTTATATTACACTGCCCAGCGTCTCCCTTCACCCACCCCTCTGCTGCCCGTCCCCCAGAGAGGAGGTTATACGTAGCTCCCTGTGATCAATTCCCCCTTTCTACACCCCCCTTCCTCCTTGTTTCACCACTGTCACCCCTGGTCCTGAGAGGCTCATCTGTCCTAGATTCCCTGTGTTTCCAATTCCCATCTGTATCGCTGTGCATCCTCTGGTCTAACCAGGTTTGCAAGGCAGAATTGGGGTCCTGGTAGTTGGAGGGATCACCGGTTATTCTTAATCTTAGGCCTCAGCCTGTGTGTAACCGTACGTGCAAGATTTGAGGGACCCAGTGCTTTCCCTCCACCCTGGGCCTACCTTCCAGATGGGGGAGATAGTAAAACTACTTCACAACCGCTGTGGTAGGGGTGGCCAACACTCAGAGTAAATCGTCAACTGGGGTAAATGGTTCACTGATGGGGTACCTACTGCTGTGCGCCGAATGTGCGCCAGTCATGATGCCATAGACATCGAGCAGTCAGAGATGGGTGAAATACTGATGACTGATCCCTCTGTCCTAGCCGGGCTCCGTTGTTGCTCTACCGTAGCCCCGTCTTCACCACCAAAGCTCTTTGGTCTGGCATCCCCTCCTCTGTTGCACACACTACGGATCTTTGTCTTGAGCACAAAAAGAACATCATTTCCACCCCCAATTTCTTCACCAGCTTAAAGGGAACCCCTGCCTAAAATGCCATTTGTCTACTTTCTTCTTGCTGCCAAGCTCACTGTTGCTCCCCCTGAAACTTGACCTTTACCAGCAGATAGATTCCACAAATCTATCCCGTTTCTGTCATATTTGTGATCAAACATTTGGAGGGGACAACAGCGCAGAATGTATATCATCACCAGTCACATACAAGAATGTGACATTTCACTGCCTAACTAAGTTCTAGTAGGCTTAATGAGGAGATAACTCAGAGCTCACACTTGAATAAGGGAAAAATAAATATTAAAAAGTTAATATATCAAAATCGTATGCTACTACATTTATATATACATATATGATATTGATTAATACATGCAATATATCTAATTCGTGTTTACACATTTATTAGTTTGGGTCTTTTTACATTATTATAAATTCTGTACCCATATGCACAATATTGAGGGGTTTTTTCTTCCTTTTCCTATTTCAAACAGTTTTATTGAGACTTAACCCACATACATGCAGCTTCCTCATGTCGGTACACGAGGATATTCTTAGTATATTCAGAATGGTACAACAAGCATGGTACTCTAATTTCAGAAATTGTCCCTCACCCTCTCTCATTCTCTCCAATTCCCTCTCACCCAGTCCCCAGAACCCACTTGTCAAACATTTGTTTATACATTTTGTTAACCTGACCACTTCATCAACCAATGTGGAGATTGTTATCCCTGGCTTCTTTTGCTGGAGGTAGTGTTTTCAGTTTACCAATGCTAGAGGACGTAGGAGCGCTTGGCTCTTCTTTGCTGCTAAACACAGATCTACCACGTTCAATTTAGTCAATGGAGGATTTTTTTTCACCTTCCCCACCCCCTCTCTCTTATCACGCCTAGAACCTTGTCCATTTCATAGGCGGTGCAGTAAATGTCTGAGAATTAAATTAGTGAAAATAAGAACCACAAAAGTCAGTTTATTCCTTTAGAAGAAGTGAGTCTCTTTAAGGTATGGGGAAGGGGGGCAAATAATGCAAATATGTAAGCACATGTTGATAGACTATAAAAAAGACTAGCATTTTAAGGATATATATCACCAACTGCTTTCTAAAGGCAATGTTTTTATTAGTATTTATATTGATCCTTTTCCTTCAATACTTGCAAACAAATAGATTATAAGGGAAAGTATAACAGTTAACTATTATATCCACACTTTCAAGTAGTTAGGATGATGGATTTTTTTCTTCCCTTTGACCTGGTTTTGTGGGAATGATATTAATAGGCTGGCATACATCATTGCATAAGAAGAAAAGAATTCTGGTGGAAGTGTTAAAATATAATATCAGCATTAAGGTCCAGGGGACTGAATAGTGCATATTTTTAAGTGTAACAGATTTATCTGTGGCCATTGTTAATAATTATCATTTTGTCACTGTCTTTTTACATGTGGGCCAGCCATCTGCTCGACTCTAAATCAGCTACAGAAGTCTGACTACAATTAGGACTTATGGCAGTTAGAGCTTATGTCAGCTTGAATGTTTATGAAAGTGTAGGGGTGGAATCTAATGTGTCAATCTGGTCACAGACTGATGCTCTCTCTTCATTGATTGGCTTCTTGCAAGTGGGGAAGTTAGGATCCTCCCTCTCTCTCTTTGTGACATCATCTTCCTACGTACGGGGACTCTGTCTGTACCCTGCCATTGTCCCACTGATTGGAGTCAGCTGCCATCTTCCAGCTTCCTGGTTCACCATTCCGCATCACTGGCATGCAGAGACTTTAATGAGAAGAAGGCCTGATGGACTAGCATCGGATTTATGGACTTGAGTTAGACTGGGCTGAGATGCCTTCTTGAGATATGATTCCTTCTGGATATAAGGCTCTTTCCTATACATAGAGTGTCACTGGATCTGTTTTGCTAGACAATCTTGCCTAAGGTGCTTCTGGATCTGATTCTATCAAGGGAAAAGCCCAAACTCATGTGGAAAGTTAGATAATATGCTTTTCTTTCAATTTTAAAAGAAAACATGCTTAATTATGGATGTAATACATTAAGACATTGATACAAGTAAACTGATATAAAAAATTTGATTTCCTTTTGTTCCTCTTATATGTTCTTTCTGCCTCAAAATTTATCAAGTCAAGTATTAGGAAGGGTCTTATTCTCTTTTAATGTTGCCTTCTAAAAGGCTGTCATTCTCTTTCACTTGACAATTGCTAAACCCACGGGTAAAGTGGCAGTTTAGGCAGTCTTGCACATTTTGCCCCTCAGGAGTTAATCCACACTATTAAACTCTATTTCTTTGTTCTTTTTCACGTACTCACTTCAGAGGAGCAGTTAATGAATTAATGGTTTCAAGTTTCTCAGGCTATTTGGGAAAAAGAGGAAGAAGCAACCAGAAGAGGCATCCGTGCAAACAGCTGACACCTTGTTTTACAGGGAGAGTACATTTGAAGAGCATGAAAACCTTTCTACTCACACATCTCTAAAGACTCATCTGAATCATCAGGGCAGTCGGGGTCGCCATCACACAGCCAGCTCTGGGAGACACAAGTCACGCGATCGTGGCAAAGAAATTCACCGGGAGCACACAGTTGCTGATCTGAAAACAAAAATGTTTCAAAAACCATGTGAGTGATCTGAACAGGAATAAAAGGTCTGCCCAAAAACAAGGTGTCTGACAGCAATACATAAAAGGTACATGAATCCAAAGCACATTCTCTACTCAGTAGCAAAGCCAAAGTAATTATTACATTTATTGATTGATTTATTTCATTTGTCTCTCCACTCAAATACACACTTTTGATAGACTTTGTTGTAGGTTCATAGAACATACTCTGGAAAGAGTGAAGAATTCTGTTTGTGTTTATGACTAGAGGCGTTGTCACATGACATAAGCACAACTGAGCAGAGGTTTTGAAAGTTGTTGATCCAAAGCGGAGACTCTTGAGAATACAAATGTAAGTTTTCCCTTGTTCAAGAGCCATACAAAGTCAAAAATAATGGTCAAATATTGTGGTTATAACCTCATCTCTGAATATTTAAATCCTAACCATCGACCAGAGGAAAATTAAATCCTAATACTAGGACTTTAAATCTCTGTATCAGTTGGATATCCATTACCGTACTATTTCCCTCCTCCTTTCCCCACAATCTCCCATGTGGCAGCTTCTGCTACAGAAAGACCACAGTACTAGTAAACGTCTATAAAGCCATTTCTAATTCCAGATTGCATTCCCAAAGTCCACGCTACTTTCCTACCATCCTGTCAGAGGAGTTGGGATCTGTAGCTTTCCTTCAAGTCCTAGTTGCTTGTAGGCTATTTGCAATCACTTACTTTTACCCTAGGGACACATTTAATAAAATTCTTCGCTGATTCTAAAACAAAATTTATTTCTTATATCTCAAGATACCTGAAATCAAGATGTGTCTTAAAACCTCTGAATGTGAAGGAGTTTTAGGAAATATTCATCCATTTGATTTCATTTATATTTTATGGATAGTCAAGAGTGATTTATGATAAAAAGAAATCTATCATTAAATTGATATGTGAGTTCATTATGCATCAAATAAAATTCTAAGTGATACAAAAGCTATTGCTTATTCAGTAGTACTTCTAGAGAAATATACAAAATAGTGCTGCACCTTGTACTTAATGGCATCACAGATTTGATGAAATATGTTATGGTTTTCTCTCTTCTCCACGAACCTCTCTCCAACCACCAGAAGGTTTTGTAAATATTGATTAAACACACAGACACGCACACTCTTTAATCTATAGACATGGCTGTGCATATATATTTATATATTCCCAAATGAAAGATGTTTCCTGAGAGCACATATGATTTATATTATCCCATTATGTATTTTTTTGTAAATCCACCACTGTCACCATCACCTCCATTGTCATAAAAGTTATGACATCTTTACATCTCATTACTTGCAAACATATCTTGCCCTGGATTATATTTTATGTAATTATAGATGAAGAAGCTATTTGCTATTCCCTTAGGTAATTATTGTGCAGTTACTGTCATTATTTTTACTGGAGTAGACTTGAATCTTGCGGTCATAGACTACATCACAGCAAATAATACATTTGAGTAAAGTTTGTAGAAATGGAAGTAGTAACTATATGGATAAAAGGTGATTTGTTCAAATCCATATGCTAAAGCCCTGAGGCAGAAGGGTTGAACCGGAATACAAAAGGAGGCAAACATGGAAAAAGAAGGTTCATTGTAGCTATGAACCTCAATACTGAAATGGGCACAAAGGGAAACACCCAACAATGGAAGTTCTGCCAGTATGGAATACCTATGTCAGTTAGATGGGAGGAAAACCGAGATGCAGGTAGAGCAGGTGCTGGATGAAGAATTTAAATGCAGTGGGGGTGGGGCACAGATGGTGTGGTGGGTTACACACTAGGCCACTAACAAGGGTCGCCTTCAGAGCCACCAGCCACTCTGCAGTGGCTTTAAGCTGAGACTTAAAGAGTTACAGACTTAGAATCTCATGGGAGCACTTGCACTTACTAACAGTGAGTTTGAGTTTGACTTTGGAGGGTCAGTGTCCTGAGGAAGAAAGGACAGAAGGTTTGATAAACCTGACAAGTAAATTGGAAGAGAAGAAAATTAAGTTATTTGTACCTGACTTTTATGATTAATGTATTTGTCATTTACTGGTTGCTTTATTTTATTCATTTAGTTATAATATAGCTTGTTCCTTTTTTGAGAAACTTGCAATGAATATTTTATTCAATAGGTTCATATGTTGAGGTCCAGAAAATTATTATGCTAAACATTATATGCTCACTCACTCATTGAGCATGAGAGACTGGATGTAAATTGGCAAATTTAAAAGTAGCACACAGCAGATGCAGGGTTCCACAAACATCTAAGAGACTAGTCAATGTGTTTCCTATTTTCTCCAGCTTTATCCAGGACCCACGGTTAGGATCCTTTTCAGAGCAGTCAGCAAGGCAGCTGGGAACCTTCAACTTCTGGTTTCAGAGTCATTAGTGCTGCAGTTCCTGCGTCTATTAATCCTCTGAACTAAGGTTCCCCTGTGTACTTGCTTTTCTTAACTCCTCTTGGCGCAGGACAGGGTTTGTATATGGTTATTTTTTTTTTGAAACTGTAGGCAAGGAGTATTGAAAAGGAGTCCCTGGGTGGTGCAAATTACTAACATGCTTCTATAAGAATGGCCGAAGATGCTACTTCAGAAAAATAAGCATTGAAACGCCTGTGGCGCACATGGCTCCTCTGCTGGTCCAGGACTGACCTGCGTATGAGCTGGCTCAACTGAACTGGCTCCAGCAGAAAAAGAACAGTAACATTGTCTGACAATCATTGTTGGGATTTAGAGAAAGGATTCAACTGTGAATTTGAAAAAGATTACTTCCTAATTGCAATTATGGTCCCACTAAGGCTGAAATATATACATATGATACTTGAATGTTTTAGCCATTTTATTTTGTTTTAAGTACCAATGTTCACCTACTATGAATCATAAATGCAGAAGAAAGGTGGGGATTCCTACTCCCGTGAAGAGGGACAGTCTCAGAATACTCACAGAAGCACATCTGCCTTGTCCTGTAGCTTCAATCGATGGCAGGGAGTTTGATTTGGTGTATTTCATTTTAAGGTCAATCTTTACAATCATTAAATATAGGATTCCAATGAATGATATTTTCAGTTTTTAAAACCAATTAATGTAAATATAAGACACTGAGTTGACTTCTTTGAATAAGAATATAAATATGTTTCTATGGGTGTGTGTAGTTCCCATTTATCTTATTTAATGCTTCCTCTTGCATTTCTGTGAGAGTCAAAATAATCTTATTTTAAAGGTTTCTCTATTGTATAGTGCTCTAGATTGCAATGGAAGCAACACGATTTTGAGAATACAGAGGCCGTCTGGTGTACACACCAAGGAAGGAGATCAAAGCTATTGCTATGCATATCTCTTTATAATAGACTCTCAAACTCAAATACATGTAAAGATTAAAATAACCAGAGCCATTAGATTTTTATTCATCCAAGCATAAGAAAAAGTGTAATATGATACATTTTCTACAGTTATTTTAATAAAAATTTATAATATTTTTGAATTTTTTGTCACCATAGCAGAAAAACATTCTATACATAATTTGCCACAATTAGCTAATTTATAGTTCTCACTTTAATATTACAATAAATTGCTAATCTATTTAATATTTTCAAAAATAGGAACTAACAAAGGCAAGTATTAAAACTAACATCCGTCAATAAGGATGTATTGAATAACTATTGAACCGCTAGTTCTTTGAGCATTTTGTCATATCCTTTACTAGTTGACTTGCCAGTTAAGTACTAAAGAAAATGTTAGTTTATCAACAAATTAATTCCTTGCTGAGTGCATAATAGGGCACCATAGGAAAAGCTAAGAAATAGAAATGTTGAGTTCTGTTAGCTAATTACAATAGGAATGTAAGAAATGGTGGTATTTTGGAACTGCCAGTTTCCAGAGGAGTGGGATGTTGATACTTGCTATGTAAAATAATAGCTAAAATTTCCTGACAAATCAAAGTATTAGAGAAGTCCTACGAAATATACTTTCATAACTTTCTTAATATTAGAACCAAATTCCTGTCCTTTTGTCATTCTATGAGTAATAGTATACATGGAAAGAAATCTATGCCAACAGGGAGGCCACGCAGGGTGGTTTGGTTTCCATGGAGGGTCTGCATTAAAACAACATAGAAAGGAAGGCCTGTCCATTTATTTCTGAAATATAGCCTATGAGCATTGTTTAAGTCTCAATCAAATAAATATGGGTTTTGTTATCGTACTAGAAACAGAGCCCTTAGGTTGGAACGTGTGAGCTGTGGTGGTATCTTGAGTAAGCGCTGTGTTGCCAACCACAAGGTCCACAGTTTGAACAGACCAGCTGCTCCAAAGGCAAAGGATGAAATGTTTTGCTCCTGGATTGGTTTCCAGCCTCAGAGACCCAAAGATGCAGTACCACCCTGTCCTGTCGGGTCGCTGTGAATAGGAACTGAGCCCATGGCAGTTAGGTTAGAATGTACTGCACACGAGCCACAGCTATGGAGCCAGGACTGGGCAGCATTAGCATGTTTTTAAGTAAAGTTGCCATGAATTGGACCCAATTGAAGGCGATTAACAACAGCAATAGTTAAAGTCAACAGGAACTATGTACTGTCTCTCCTTCTCACTTCTAACTTAAATACAGGATGATTAGTGATAGACCACTAATAATGGCTAAGACAGAAATATGATCATATATTCTTTTTGTCAGATGTAATTGGCAAAGAAATTACTACTAGGATTACACGATCCTTCTAGAAGCCTGTGAGGACTATTACCCTGTTTCTCCGAAAATAAGACAGTGTCTTATATTAATTTTTGCTCCCAAAGGTGCGCTAGGTCTTGTTTTTAGGGGATGTCTTATTTTTCCATGAAGAATACAGTACACATTTATTGTTTATTGTTTTATTAAAAGAGACCTCGCACTTCCTGTCTGCTCCGGCTTCGCTGTGGCCAGCAGTGAGGTGTGCCACTACAGTCCAAAGTCCAGAGTTATGGTATCTTTGGGGGACCTTATTTTCAGGGGGATGCCTTATATTTCAGCGAGAGGCAAAACTGTAAGTAGGTCTTATTTTCGGGGGATGTCTTACTTTCGAGAAAACAGGGTAATAACCATATTTCCAATTTTGATAAAAGTTCATATACAATCATTTAAACTCATATAACACCCACTAGAAAGCATCTTATGCCCTTTCTTTTACAATTCCCCACTACATAAAAAATTGCACATATACATACATATTTTCAATTCCACAGAATAATGCTTAAAATTGCTTTTGATAATTTAGCTTGAAGAACTCCTTTTCTAGTTCTTGCTTCTCCTGTCATTGCAGCATGTCAGATACATGGACTCACAAGGTAGACTAATTTTTCTTAAGTGTACCCTTTATGTGTCTTTTCTTCCTTTCTTGGAATAGCCATTCACATTGAACAATAATCAAGTTATTCACTAAAGTCAAAGACATGTTCCCTCTTTCGATAAAAATGTTCCCCATAACAACGGCTCAATATGCCAGAAACAAGTCCTATTATACT